CTTAATAAAGTTTTAAAATGGATAAGATATCCTATACCTAATAAAAAAGATTTATTATCAAAATTATATAATGCCAACATATTTTCTAAATTCGATTTAAAATCTGGATATTGGCAAATTCAAATAAATCCTGAGCATACTTATAGAACTGCTTTTAATGTGCCTATAGGACAATTTGAATGGAATGTGATGCCATTCGGATTAAAGAATGGTCCTTCTGAATTTCAGAAAATCATGAATGATATATTTATTCATTATATGGATTTTATAATTGTCTACATTGATGATATCTTAGTATTCTCTGATAATATTGAACAACATTTTAAACATCTTAATATATTAAAGGATGTTATTTTACGAAATGGCTTAGTAATATCTAAACCAAAGATGCTTTTGTTTCAACATAATATAAGATTTCTTGGTCATCAAATAAGTCAAGGGAAAATAACCCCTATTCAACGATCAATTGAATTTTCTTCTAAATTTCTGATGTTTTTCTTGAGAAAATTCAACTCCAGAGATTTCTAGGAAGTTTGAATTATATTTCACCATACTATAAGAATTTACGAAAGATTTAGCAATTCTATATGATTTGCTTAAAAATCAATTAAATTTGATTGAATGAAAAGCATACTCAATTAGTTAAGCAAATAAAAGAAAAGGTAAAAACTCTACCATGTTTAACATTAGCAAATCCAAATTGGAAAAAGATAATAGAAAGCGATGCTAGTAGCATAGGATTCGGTGGAATCTTGAAACAGTTAACCCTCATGATAATAATGAATATCTTATTAGATATTATTCGGTAAATGGACGAGAACCTCAAAAGAAATATGCAAGCGTTGCACAAGAATTTCTTGCTATTGTAAAATGTGTATTAAAATTCCAAGATGATTTATTTAATCAGTCGTTTGTAATTCATACTGATGCACTTGCGGTTAAACACATGATTTATAAAGATTACAAGCATGATTCTTCAAAGCAAATATATGCTCGATGGCAGGCTAATTTGGCCCCTTTTGATTTTGAAATTTTATATAAAAAGGTAGTGATAATTCCTTACCGATTTTTATCACGTGAATATTTGCGGGATGGAGTGGCCACAAATTGATTATCTTAACCCACTATCCGTAATACATATTGCTTATAATAAGATTGTTCTTGAATATAGGCATTGTAGAACGGAATATATTTTTGCGAAGCATAGACTAAATCACTTTTTACGAGTTCGTAATACAATTCTTGATTGTCTTGATGAATTTACTTCACCACAACAGATAATATCTCATTTTGAAGACCTTGAATTTGTCTATGACATGATAGAAGACTTCACTGGAAGATTAACTGAAAGTGAAGAAAAGTTGAATTATTGTAAAGCCAAATTATCATTAATAATTCTCTAATTTTTCAGGATTATGTATCCACCCGATAGAGGACGCGGCCCTTATAGAGGTCGTGGAGGAAGAACAATAAACCCTGTAATACAACATGGGAGTAAAAAGCTAATAGCTGCTGATTTTTCAAAATCTCAGGAGGAATCCTCCTCATCAAATCCGAAATTGGTCCAAATAATGGATTTTATTCGAATGATTCGCATTATATAAGCGGATTATGGATCATATCCAAGAGCAACAAAGTGATACCTTTTTGCTAAAGTAAGTGACACCGACCGAGGATGATATCCGGTCATATGAAAAAGGATCCACAAAGGAGGTAATATTCCTTCTTGAAAACGCGACATTCGGTGGAAAAATGACCCATGGGTAATATTCGAAGATATCTAGCGAAAGGGTAATGATACCGGGTGAGTCATACAAACCCGAAATTATTATGAGAATATTCTCAAACAAACTGTGAAATAACACATTTTCAGTCTAATCGGACTACAATGAAGTTTATAACTTCTCAAAATTATTATCAAAAGATTTTATCTTCCGAAGAATGGGAATTTCAACCCTCTCTGAAAGAGAAGTACGTAATACTCCTACCTCTCCTCCTTTGAAATTTACTTACTGGGATTATATTCAAAGTTTTTCTAAAACTTTTTATTATGAAAACCCCAGAAAAAAGCATACTTGGTTCATTAAGATATGCTCACATGTATATTCTTCTCCCATACCCAATTGGTTTATCCAGTGGTGGGCATTATATGGCCCAACAACAAAAATTTTGCCCGAGAATTTTTCAAAATTATATTATCGATGGTTAAAATCTTCCCCAATCATTGATAAACTTCAACACAGTCATATCTGTGCTCCAGAAAAAATCACTCTGTTATACTTCTTTATTGAATTCTCGATTCCCTGGATTTATAAATGGGTCCCTGAGGTGGGATTCAATGAATTTCAAATTCCGTGTCTTTATAAGACATATTATACCAAATTTTGGGATAAATTAACAAAAATAAATCACAATACCAAAAGAATGGAAGGACAGGACTTGCTGGACGAAATTGCCCAGAAAATTAAGGAATATACTCAAGACAAAGAACAGCTCAAAGCAAATCCAGATGAAGAAAGTCCATTCAAACACATCACAAAACGAATTCAGCTTCAGCAAGGAGCAATTAATAAGGAAGAGATAATATCCGCCTATATGAAAGAAGTTAAAGCCGATCTCATGAGAAATTTAAAAAATCTCGACAATGATAATATTTCAGAAAAATCAGATGTTTCGATGAAGAGTATAACTTCCAATGAAGAAAATTCTTTTGCAATATTGGCCGGAGAATCTCAGTCACCAGAAAAAGATGACGATCACGATGAATTCATCAAAAATCTGTTACAGCAGATCCAAGAGACAGCTCAATCAGCCAAAGGAAAAGAAAAAGAATGAAGTGACAAAAGTAGGAATCTACTTTTGAAATAGATGTGACAAAAGAGGGAATCTACTTTTAAAAGAGGACCTCACCATCAGTCAAATCTGAAGAAAACCATGTCAAATAATGACAAAAGATAATAACTTTTGTAGAATAGTAGTTTTAACTTTTGTAGAATAGTAGTTAGGCACTTTGTTTATAAATAGAATGTAGAAGTTCTTGTGGAGGGGAACACTCTCTCCAAGCATTCTCTCTTTTCTTCTCCCTTTATTTCGAAATTCTCTCTTTCCCTTGTAAAGAAATCATTCAGTAAATATATCTTTCAAGTTTGAAGAAGAGAAGAAGCTTTTAAAGGTAATCTTTTCTTTTAAGTTTGTTTTACGTTATAGTTTGAAGTACTCAGACAATGTCTGAGTAAATCCTTTGTCTGAATCAAACATTTGGCTTTTGTTTACATAAATTATACATGGAAGCTCTATCTCCTTCTTCTCTTTTAATTAAAATACGATGATTTGAGATTGGTTCCAATTCCTTGTTCAGTCGGAAAACTCAACAATAAGTGCATTGGGCTAGAAAAGTACCCGTTATGATGAATTGTTTAAGGGGAAAAAGAGGCCACATGATGCACAATAAGTTGTGGATTCCAGACAGGCTTGAGAGTTGGGTGAAACTTTTCCATACATCTCGATTATTGATATTTTAATTAAGGATGGATAGAGATTTTGATCCTGTAGCTGGTTGACAAGGCATAGCTCCCGGATGAATGGTATCAGCCAGGGTGGTGGTTTGGATTCCGGCCTGGTTTCCTTGCTCGTCTGTTTGCCTGGTCTTACCGGCTAAGATAAGCATTGGCCAGGCCCCAGCCCCACGCCAAATTTAATGCTCAGTATTTTGGGGAAAAGATAAACATAGATGTTTGAGGGTAAATTCGGTAGACAGTATAAAATTTGTTTTGGCTCCTAAAAGTTGTTTTGGTAATAAGGAATCGGGAATGATTTTGTATTTTATCTTTCAAAATGGAATGATATCGATTTGGTTTCTTTCTTAATTTTAAACCTTCCCCTTTTCTCTCTACCTAAAAAGCTCTCCCTTCTCTCTAAAGTTCCTTAAATATTTTCTTCTCTTTTCTCTCCCATCGGGAGTTCAAATTCATTTCTTTCTTTTCTGTTTTCTTTAGTTTTTTCAGTTACCTCTCCCTTCGGGTGTTTCGCTCACCCTTTAATGGGTGTTTTGCTCACACTTTGATGAGTATCCGGCTTCTCCGGTAGGGGAACTCGGATGATCCTTTTAGGAGGTTGTAGTTTTTTATTTTAATAGTTTTTAGTTGTTCTTCTCAACAGATCTGACAGATAAAGCATGGATCCAAAGAAGACTGGAGAAGAAATCATGATATAGGAAAGAACATGGAGTTAAAAGTTACAAGGACGAAGGAAATACTCGAAATCTAGAACTTCTAGGTTTGTTTAGTAGTTTTGCCCGTGTATTCAGTTTTAATTCGGATTAGATAAGAGTTGGAACTTTATCTTATACTCCCTCTGTCCCCAAATTATTGTGCAGTTTGAGATTTCATTTTTAGTACAATTTGAACTAGAAATTAAAACTCAAACTTGACAATAATTATGGGACATATGGAGTAATTAGTTTTCTTTGTATTCTCTTACTTTGGTAGATCTATTTGGATATTCCTAGTTTTAGTTATCAGAGATGTTTTAATCTGACTAATTTAGTCTTCTCAACACCTGTTCATAGATGGTTTTGTTTGTTCTTCTATGGGTTGAGAAGTCGTGTAGAGTCAGATTGTAATAGCACAATCATCAGATTGTGTAGCTCAATCCTGTATTGTACCGCCCAACCTTATAGTTGATTTATTCTCTATTAATTTAAATATGATTATCGATTTTGATACAAAAAAAATAGAGTGATATCAATTAGGCACGTTAATTGCGTGATAATTTGATTCTGATCAATGAAGTTTTCTTCTTCTTTTTTTTTCTTCATTTTTTATAAAACCATTATAGTTTTTGGTGGGGGGAAAAATGCATGAGAGTGCGATACGTCATCCTTTTTTATGGTTTGGATTATTGTTTAATAGGATGTATTGATAAATTATTTGCTTTGGATTTTTTTATAGGTTTGACTATTGTTTTAATAGGATATAATTGATCGATTATTTGTTTTCGAGGGGGAAGAAATTCTTAATATGAAATCTAGATATTTACAACCCAAGAACCCCGCAAACATCTTACTATAAATATAAGAAGAAGAAAAAGACCCTAATGAACTTGGGCGGAAGAACTTTTCTAGAAAGTCGGCGAAGAAGGTAAATTTTTTCTCGTTGCATTTGAGATCCCGCTTTTCTCCATTGAATTATATATCACTTTTAAGCCGAGGTTTTTTATGGATACTATTTGTAACAATTAGGGCTAATTATCCATATATCAGCTATTTTATCGTCCTCTGATTTTGTTTGTTTTACTTGAATCGAAGGTTAAAACAATCGGCACAGTCTCCCGTGGATCTGAACCCTTCTCTTTACCTTGCGAAAAGGTAACCTCTCTGTGACTTTAGATCTATTTTTCTTCTCATCGAACCTGCCCTCGTTTTGCTTTTTTCAGTTTTTTCATTGTATAATTTTTTGTTGAGTTTTTTGCCCGAACAATTAGGGTTTCGTGTGACGATTTTGTTTGTCTTGCTCGAGAGTGTAGGTTGGAACAATGTCTTCGATGCTAACCCCTGGCTTTGAGTTAAGGATTGCAAAGATCAGTGATGTTAGTGATTTTCTTTTTTCTTTTTCTCTTTTATTATTATTTTTATTATTGTTAATTTGTGGGATTTTTTTTTTTTCTGGATGGTTTGATTTATCATTTTCACTTTCTTTTCTGTGGTGGTATTCACAGTTCCCAGACAGGGGTGTTCTTCCTGAGGATGCGGACATGCATGATTACCCTAAGTATGAGAAGGGAACCTCAGCATTGGGTTTTATTTTCAGCAGAGAAGGGGGGGTCCTTGTAGCTGTTGATCATCCCAGCCTGTCATCTGGTGATTATTATCCCAACAATGTTCTGTCACTCAATTCGCACCTGCTTGCTGCCTTTTCCGGTGGGAGCGAAGATTCTCGCAGTTATTTGCTCAAGCAGCTGCCAAATCAGGTACCTCGGCATTCTGTTTACTTAAGTAAGGTGGATATATGATAGATTGGCTGTTTGTAATTCATGGGAACATTTCATGTCTTTTTAGTGTCACGAACTTGAACTCAAGGAGGGGAGAAAAGCTTCTGCTGCTGAAGCATCAAAGTGGCTGGCTGACTTTCTCTCTCTTCATCCTGACAGCGACCAGGGCATGTCACTAGGAATACTGATTGCTGGGTGGGATGATGAATTGGTAAATATTAGAATGTTCTGTTTTTTTGGGTGTTCCTCTTATTGACATGATCATGGATGGTACATATTAGATTGTTCTGTTCTTTTTGGTGTTACCCATGGATCTTGTTGACTTATCATGGTTTGTCTGTCTGTAGGGGCCTTCCCTTTTTAAAGTGGATGGTAATGGGAAGTTGGCCGAAGGACAGTTGTATGGAACTGGATCTGCCTCAGCTGCTGTAGCATTAGTTATTGAAGAGTATTCTTCTTTAGCCCCGATTGTTCAGTTGTATTGCCTGCGTTGCTTGAAATTTTTAGGAATTGACACTTGAACTTCTTTATGGTCCTTTCGCGCATAAATTCAGTCTTTCCATTGTGTGATGGTTGGAATATGTTTTTAGGTTTGATCCAACATCTCCATGGAGATGGCTTCTCTGGATCCTCTGTCTGCTTATGCAGTTGTTTCTGTATCTTCTTGGTTTGGTTGAGTGTTTGAGTTTTTGGGGCTTAGGAAATAGTTTGTAAGTTTGCTATGGTTGTGATTGAACTTGTAGTCAAGTTGATAAAGAACAAATACATCTTTTGTGTTGTCAAACTCGTTGTTGGTCGCACGTGTTTACTAAAATTTCTCCCTGTGTAGCATTCTCTCCCTTTGTTAATGAAAATAGTAAGTCAGTTTGTTTTCTTCCATAAGTCTGGTGAATAAACGTATCTTAGTGCATAAAAGGTTGCTCTAGCTTAATCTCAATGCTTACCCCTGCGCCAGGGCTCAAAGCCTTGTGCATAAATGGTTGGCCTAGCTGAATAGTCATATCCCAAGTTTTGTAAGCTATTCAACTCATGAGTTTTCTTTGTTTGAATTCCTTGTGCTAGGATGAAAGTCTAGGTAATTGTCCCGATGAGATTTCCTTGAACTAGAATCTCCATACTTGCCCCGACCAAACCTTGGGCATAAAAGTTTGCTGTAGCTGAATAATCTTATCTGTAATGAATCGCTTATATTTGTAGGATGAATTGGTCTTGTTTCTGCTTTTATAAGCCCAAATAAATCCTTGGTCTTTCTTGCTTAGCTTCCATAATTTCATTATGGTGGATAAACCATGGCCTTGGTGTATGTTGTCAGATTCAGGATTACTCCTGTACATCTTGATGGGCACTTGAGAGCTTAGTGGATTTCATTTTCATCCTTTGCCTCAAGCGTATTAAGTTATTTCAATTTGTCCTGATGTCATTTGAGAGCTCGCATTTAACTTACCTTTAATTGCTGCTAAGCTCTATTTTCTGTCTTATTTTTACTTGGTAGTATTTCAAGAACTTGTTTCTGTTTTTTCTACAGGATCTATGGTCGCAGTATGACCCTGGTTCCTGCTAGGGATTTGGCCAAATTTGCACTTTGTATTGGTACATATTCTGTGCCTGAATTTGCTGAACATATCAGCGGTAAGTTTGTGATCTCCCGGCCACTTTTAGCATGTTGCACGTTAATCCGTACCTGGAGATTGGTGCATGTATGTCTCTTTGTTGTACATTCTTCGTAAAATAAAGTGGACTGTGCATTTTCTTTTTTACATTTATTCTTTCCCCCTCCTGATTGTGTGTATGTTCTTTTTCCGGCATTCAAGTTTTCCATGTTGGAAGTGCTGGCGTTAAAGTGGTGGTCTCTAATGAGAGTATACAAGAAAACCAAAAGCAACACTTCGGGAGTAAGTGGCGGGACCCCAAGTCCAAAAAATTTCACCCCCACTTCATGGTTTAGGAGAATCGGCAAGAGGTGTGATGCTGGTAGTTCTTTCCTGTGTTTTTCCTTATATGTTGGTCTTATGCTTTCCTTTTATGTGGACGAGGGATTTCTAGACTGTATTTATTTTTATGCATTTCCGGTACTTTATATTTATGTATGTCTTGAGCGAGAATGAAGTAAATCCATAGTTTATCTTTGAAGAAAGATTTCTCTTATGATCCCGTGTAACAAAATATGCAAATGAACAATTATACGTAGGTTTCCTAATCAAAAAATTTGTAACCAAACAAGAAAAAAGAAATAACAAAGTCTCACAACCTTCTAACTTTTACTATACATCCAAATGCAAATGTTCAAATATACATTTCTGTGATTGCTGGAAAAAAAAGGGCCCTGGATTTTTCAATGGCCTTATAAAGGTTGTTATCAACTCTGAGTATCCGCTACCCTATGCTCTTGTGCATTCAAGGTTCACCGATGCAGATGATTGAATGTCAAGGCAATTTCCAGGCTCGGTACAACATTGTGTAGTTTTTTACATGTTCATTTTTTATTAATTTTGTATGTAAGTTATAGAAATATAATAAGTCTACAATTGAGCTGTCTGAATAATAGTGACTGAGATAAGTAATAACATATACACCAAAGATGATCATTGTTTACAAAGGACTACCGGAATAAACTGAACAAGCTTAGTTATAACTGATGCATTACATTTACTTAAATGAGGGCAGACCAGCACTCCACATCTGGAAATCGGTGCCAGAGAGCATAGCCGGACCATACGAATGCTCTTTTAACCAAAAAAACAATAAAAATCAGTGATCCGTCCGGAGCGTCCAGAAAGTGTGTTTGTTTGGACATCAACTCATTTTACCTCTTAGATACAAAACTCAATGGAAAAAGAAAACATCATCCAAATAACTTTCTGATTTACATTTTAAATTTCAATTTGAACCACTTTTTGTAAGTGTAATGATCATTTTAGAACTACAAATAATTCAGTGACAAATTTGGTAGAATTCCGTTGTTGAGTGATTATTTTTGAAAAAGTTCTTTTTTGCAGTGACTATAATTGACAATATTTAATTGTTTAGTGATGACTCGTACTTGATATTTCAAAATATAGTTCAAAATACTTTTTTTCAAAACCAACATTCAAACAGCTTTTTTTAAAAATACCATCCCAACAATATTTTTATTTCCCATTTAGTTTTCAATTTAAAATACTTTCTACTTTTAAATGGCAAAATAAAATGTATGTTGACGTTTAAATAAGCACATATTTCAAAGAAAACTTGCGGGGGGCAAAATCAATATGGGAAAGAGATTCCGGGTCAAGGGAAAAGTAAGTTTTAATTTTTAAACTCAAAAGCAGCCTCCAAGATAGTGCAAACTAAAGGAGCCTTCAAAATTTACATGGCATCCTGGTGTTTTCCCGAGGCAATCAGCACTTTGGCTGCGTCAATTTTAGAGACCAGAGAGTCACAAGCAGCACAAGATTCCGACAGAGCTTCCTAGACAATTTTTCTTGCGAGTAAAATGTCCAAATGGTCCTTTATATTTGGGCTTACTTGAATTTATGTTCCTAAAATTAAGATTTCAATATTGTAGTCCCAAACATTTTGTTCTCAAATTTTTTTGGTCCCATTTCACTATTTCGACCACTTTTTCGTGCAGCTCGATATTGACCGGCCATTAACATAGTGGAATTAAGGGTATTTTTGTCTTTTCACTTAATTTAAATTTCTATTAAAATTTAAATTATTAAAAATATTATAAAATTCACATTTAATTATTTAATCATTAAAATATTATGTCTGAATTTAAAATATTATTATAAAATTTTAAAATTTACATAATTTTAAAATTACTTTTTTATTTACTATTTACTTTAAGTACAAAGTAAATAGTAATTATTAACTTAAAATTTAATATAATTAATTTTTTAATTACCCATACACCTTGCCTCACCCAGACCCACCTTCTCGCCGCCACCTCCGCCCATTTCCCGTTGCCACGCCATAAATCCCGAGTACTCACGGCCACTTCCCTGACTCCAAAAAATTTGAGATTTTTGCCTTGACATTTAGATCCAAGATATCGAATCACTTAATAATCCAAGAACCCAACAATTCAAGAGAGATACTTTCAGTTTCGAGCCCATAAATTCAAACTTCAAAACCTCAACGATAAAATCTAAAATCCGGTTAATTTGATTATTGTTCTGAGAGGTCAAGCTGAAAGAGCTGTGGAAGATGGTGATGGCGGTGGTGGTGGAGGAGGAGGAGGTGGTGAAAGGAGTTACGAGCTTTACTACGACGATGGGTTCGGGTCGGGTCTCCGGCCGTTATAGTCTAGTATGTCAGATTTTCTGATGGGTTCTGGATTTGAAAGATTATTGGACCAGCTCACAGATCGATGTGAACGAATTATTGCGCCTGGAGAACCTTCCGGCGTCTAAATCGGCTGTCGAATCAATGCCCACGATAGAAATCGCATCGACCCATGTAAGTTCAGAGGCTCACTGTGCGGTCTGTAAAGAAGCATTTGAATTGGGTTCCGAAGCTCAGGAAATGCGTTGCAAGCATATTTACGATTCTGACTGTATCCTTCCCTGGCTATCTCTTCGAAACTCGTGTCCAGTTTTCCGGCACGAATTGCCGGCAGAGTCAATTGCCAGTTTGGATTCAGATTCAGGGGCGAGAGCCAGCCGAGTTGAGGACCGGATGCCAGGATGCCATGGAATAACAATATGGATTTTGTGCTTTCTGTTTTATTGTTTTGATTTTCATTATCATCATCATCACTCATATCTTATTTGCAGAAGTGGAAATATCGTGCTCTACTGTTTTGATTTGTTTTAAAATATGGGTTTTTGAATTTTGAATTATTAACTATAAGGTAAATATTATAAGTTACGGTGGGTTTAGGATTAAAAGTCCAATACAATTATCATTTATTTTGTGCCTAAGGTGACTGGTAAATGAAAAAATAATAATTTTGAAAATAATATAAATTTTATAATTTTATAATTACATTTAAATTAATAAATAATATTTTAATAATTAAATAATAAAATATGAATTTTATAATATTTTCAATGATTTAAAATTTTAATGGAAGTTTAAATTAAGTGAAAAGATGAAAATACCCTTGATTCTGATATGTCAACGGCCGGTCAACATCGAGCTGGACGGAAAAGTGGTCGAAACAGTTAAAGGGGACCAAAAAAGTTTGAAAACAAAATGTTTGGGAGTACGATATTGAAATGTTAATATTAGCGACGTAAATTCAAGTAAGCCTAAATGTAAAGGACCATTTGGACATTTTACTCTTTTCTTGCTCAGATGCTATTTCATGCTCCATCAATCGAGTATATATATATATATATCTTGGCTTGAAGCCAACGGAGAAGCGGCACAGTGTTTGGATTAGAACTCAATCTTAAGCTAATCCTAGAACTTTAGTCTCTCTTATCTCCAATGACTTGATCAACAGCCTCCTTTTCCCTCCTGATTTTCCTCTTAAGACCGAAAATCATCATTTTCTTTCATTCAGTAAAAAACGCCAAGTCGCCTAGTGCCTTTCTAAAACACCCCAAAGCATGAGTTTGTTTGGCCAACCTTCCATTTTGCATTTTTTTTCATTTTACCTCTTAAACACAAAATTCAATGGAAAAAAAAAATCCAAATAACAATATGATTTACATTTTAATTTCCAACTTGAAACACTTTTTGTTAGTGTAATGACCATTTTAGAACTACAAATATATCAATGATTTGGCAGGATTCCGTTGAGTGATTTTTTTTGAAAAGTTCTTTTTTGCAGTGATTATAATTGACAGTATTTAATTGTTTAGTGATGACTCGTACTTTATATTTTCAAAATGTAGTTCAAAATATTTTTTTTCAAAACCAACATCCAAACAACTTTTTATTCAAAATACCGTCCAAACAACATTTTCATTTCCCATTTAGTTTTCAACTTAAAACACTTTCCACTTTTAAGTGGCAAAATAAAATGTGAGAGTTCAAGGCATAATTCTCACATTACCATCTATTAGAAGAAAATTGGTATTTTATTTAGAAAAATAAAAGAAGAGAATAAACTAATGGAGTGAAGGACTACATTTTTTTATTTCATTTTTAAACTGAATACATCAAATGCCTTTTTATAGGCTTAGTTTACAAATATGATAATTATGTAAATTAACTAATTTTATTTAAGTGATAAAGATAAGTAATTCACTTGAAATAACCAACTAGATGAAACTAATCTAAGAAATTCCTTTGTACTTTATCTCTTAACATTCCCCCGCAAACTGTGCTGGAACTGAAGAATTGAGGGCTGAAGGCGCAGTTTGTTGTAGAATAGAGTCTACTAGATGAATTGTTTGAAACTTGATTCTGAGCTTGTTGTGAATTGCTTGAAACTTGATTCTGAGCTTGTTGTGAAGGTCTCATATCATGGATCTGGATCCAGATTTGTGAAGCTGCAATAAAAAAATAAAAAATAAAAAAATTTGTATTGTGGTAGATTACCAATGTCACACAATCTTGGTTTGAAAGTGTGAATGTGATCTCCAATGACCATGTAGCCATTTTTTGTGGAGATATGTGAATATTTCTAATGCTTCTCCAAAAAATATGTGTACTTCATTTTTGAGTACTTTTCGGAGAACTATATGTGTAAAAAAAAATGACAAGTCCGAGGAGTTTTCTCGGACTTTTGCCATGATTGAAATTTTTTGAATGGATTCAGATGAGACTCTTTTTTTTTTTTTTTTGGTGGTGATAATGAAATTGGAGGATGAAACAATGGTTGAGTTGTGAGATAACCGATAGGTCCTTGGCTATGTGCGGGAATCTCTCCGCAATGAATAATTGATTGGAGAGAATTTTAGAATGATAAAATTTTGAGTATCGATGAACAGAAATGCAAAAGTCATGATTAGACATATATGCGGAAGCTAAAAAACCTTCAGATGCAGGATAGAACCTGCTCTGATACCAAGAAGAAAATTGGTATTTTATTTAGAAAAATAAAAGCAAAGAATAAACTAATGGAGTGAAGGACTACATTTTTTGATTTCTTTTTTAAACTGAATATATCAAATGCATTTTTATAGGCTTAGTTTACAAATATGATAATTATGTAAATTAACTAATTTTATTTAAGTGATAAAGATAAGTAATTCACTTGAAATAACCAACTAGATGAAACTAATCTAAAACTTTTAATTCCTTTGTGCTTTATCTCTTAACACTATTGGGTTCCATCAGAAGCAATGAATTCAGATGTTTCCAGTGTTGGTGGACAATGAAAGGGACTTC